GGAAACGTGAGTTGGTCCTGGGGCGGCACCTGGCCCTGCCCCTTCCTTCCAGCGCCGAGGGCCCTGCCCACCTCTGCACACCACTAACTCGGCTGTCTTCTCCTTTCTCGTCACCAGGGCTCGGGCCCAGGCTCAGCGGTCCCAGGCAGTTCCGGCGTCGGAACCCCCAGACAGTTCACGCGACAAAGGATCACGCGGGTCAACCTCAGGGACCTCATATTTTGTTTAGAAAATGAACGTGAGACAAGCCATTCACTGTTGCTCTACAAAGCATTCCTTAAGTAGCACGGACGCGGCCTCTTAGACGGAGACGCCTGGGGACTTTTTCTATATTTGCAGATTACGCCTTTTTGTAACAAGCAAATGGGATATTGTTTAAAAAACAGCCACCTCTTTACAATGGAACAGTTTTATATTCCTGTTTCTAAGTCAACTCTTCAGTATGAAGGAAAACACGTTTCTGTAACAGAGAACAAGAGGCCCGCGGGTACTCTTAAAGGACAATTAAATCTTAACTCATCTTTGATCGAGTGGCCTTCTTGCCAAACAAGCCATATATAAAAACTGATGGAATCGTTTAGCAAATAAGTAGCTGCCCTCTGTCACCTCATAGCGGTTTCTACATCGTTTGTGCATTTGGTTTAGTTCAACCCAACTTACTGCGGAGGTGTGTGTCTACAGCCGATGACCTCATTTCATTTATTTTATTTTTGTATTAGTCAGTTGGCAAAGCAAACTGATTTTTTTAGACTATTTATCTCCCTCCCGTCCCCGGCCCTCCATTCAGGACCCTCAGGGCGCGGGCAGCTCACCGCCCGCCTGCGCCTGGGGCTCCTCCCCTTCTGCTTCGCGGGGCCCGGTGACGCGGCTCCTTCTGAATGTGTGGGGTCAGCATCTGTACAAATGCATTTTATTTGCTATCGTTTGTAAAGCTGTAAAGTTAAAAGAAATGAAAACCTTTTCAGCATAAAATCTATTTTACTTGCACTGTTTTTTAGCTAAAAGTGAGAAAACTTAGATGAAATAAAACCAGAGTTGAGGAGAATCATCAGAAGACTGTTTCTCAGTGTGAATCAAGTGTTGAAAACTGGTTGGTGTATTTTGTCAGTAATTGTACATAACCTTTGGCACACAACGTGAGGACGGCTATGTAGCTATAATTATTTTGCTAAGAGGCTGTATGCAAGCTGTGGACTCGCTTTACAGACGTCCAGAGCAAAAGCCCCTTCTTTGTACCTATTTTTTTATTACAAATATACTAATTGGTTCTTTATATTTTCAGAGGTTATTGTATTAAATTGTCTATTGATAGTACTTTTATGACTGTAAATACTCCGGCTTTCTCCGTGTGAATTCTCACGTTAGACTTTATTCGCGCGTGTGAACTGAATGCTGATCAGTATTTTTTACCAACGCCTGAAAACTGTTACACCTTTTATTTTGTCTTTTAGGAAATCCCTGTCTTTCCATTTTTTCATGTAAATTTTGCACAGTTACTTGTTCATATGTAAATATTTTACTTTCAAAAATGAAGTTTTTAATTGCTATTGTTTTATATAGGATTGAAAGAAAATTAACTCCTTTATTAAAAACAAATTTATCTGTATTTGTTTTGCCTATTTTTCCCAGTTTTCCAGTTGTAGATTCTGCTGCCAGAGATTCAGCTCTGGTTCTGCTGAGGTGTGTATTTATGAGCTACTTGTTAGAATCAGTGTCTAAAACCCAGCAAATCTGGTAGAAATAGCCTCACTTCCAAGGACAGGACCTGCGTGCTCCAGAGTAGGACCCGGTGGGTCACGTCCGAGGGCCCGGAAGCCGAGCTCAGGCCTTGCCCTCAGCCTGGGGCTCCGCACGTCGGACACAGATGGACTTGCGCAGCGTGGACGCCGGGCTCCCGTCCGTGCAGAGGCACAGGGGCACCCCTGGGAGAGGGAAGGTAAGGCGAGGGGTGGGGGAGATCCGGGGGGGGGGGGGGCCCCCGCCCCCAGCGTGGACGCCGGGCTCCCGTCCGTGCAGAGGCACAGGGGCACCCCTGGGAGAGGGAAGGTAAGGCGAGGGGTGGGGGAGATCCGGGGGGGGGGGCGGCCCCAGCCCTGATGTGGACCCACCCCCTGGATGGGGAGGGTGGGGGTCTCTGGAGGCCCCGCCCCATCTGGCGGTGAGCATGACAGGTTGGCCTTGATGAACCATAGCTCCTGAGGGGCCCCCCTTTCAGAGGCTTAGCCGCCTAAGTCCCCACCAGCACTCGGACTCTCGAGAGCCACAGACCCTGTCGCTGGCGTGATGGATTCGGCATCTAGCTTTCACGTTAATTTTGATGGGTTTGCTGGATCTCCCATGATCCGTGGGCTTATTTATGAGTTACGGTCTCACTCTGGTACCTGTTGCGTCAGTTGCCTGGGGCTGCTGTGACAGAGCACCATGGACCGGGTGGCTGAGACCACAGGTTCTGGTCGTCTCCGTTCTGTAGGCCGAAGTCGAGACCCAGGTGTGTGGGCCGTGTTGGTTCTGAGTGCGGTGGCGGAGGATGTGCCCTGGTCCCCCGGCTTCTGGTGGTCGCGGACATCTTGGATGTTCCTTGGGGCATAGAAGCATCACCCCTTCACCTTTCCGTGGTGTTTTCGCCGTGTGTGCATCTGTCTTTGTGTCTGAGTTTCTCCTTTTCACAGGATACCAGTCGTTTGGATGAGGGCCCGTCCTAGTGATCTCATTTGAACTTGATGACCTCTGTGAAGACCCTGTGTCCAAATAAGGTCACGTTCTGAGGTCCTGGAGTGTTAGGACTGCCACACAACCCCGGCATAAGCTTTTTTTTTTCTTAAGGGACGGGGCGGGGATTGCAGTTCAACCCGTAACGCCTGTGATTTTGGATGATGAAAGAAACTAAATCTGAATTTTCAGAGCCTGAGCAGGGAGTACCAGGGGCACAACTTCCAGTCTTCCCCCTGTGTGAAAACGCCCGAGGCGGCTGATTGATTAGGTCACACTTGGACTTTCTGTCACGACTAATACTTTGTTTTCAGTAAGTTCTTGGCCTGAAATAAACTAGGTCAGTCAGTAAAGGGCAGCAGCGCTTGGGTTTCTGCAGGTGCAATAGCTTTAGTTCGGGCTTCTCTGCACGTCCTACTGGGCCCAGTCGTTCTGCCAGGGGCCTCGCCGAGGCACAGACTGACGCTCGCCGTGGATGATCCCTGGCAGAAGCGTGGCCAGCAGCCTCGAGGCGCCTTTATCCGTTATTTCTCCCTCCTGTGGGCGCTGGGTGCTGTTCAGCGTTTCAGCACAACACCTTACCAGTTGTCCGAAGTCCGATTCGCGTACCTCTGTGGGCTTGGGGTAGAGTGCTGTGGGGATGGGCCAGGGCCACGACAAGGACGTCTGCTTTCACCACGTCCATTCCCCAGGGAACTGCAGTCCCAGTCGGGCAGAAAGGCGAGAGAGAGAAATGAGGACTGAAGGTGAGGGCAGGACCCTGAGGCGACGCAGTCGAGTGCACAGAAATCCCGAAAGAATCCATGCACACGGTGCTGAAATGGTTCCGGTGCTTGTGCGTTTTGTAAGATTTCGGGGTGCAAGGTCAGTATCCAGAATCAACCGTAATCCCTGACGCCAGCAGCAAAAAGCTAGAAAGTGAGAAAAATAGCATTAACACCACCACCAGAAACATTGGGATACGTGGGAATACATACAATTAAAGAGGTCTAAGATCTTTACACTGAAGTTAGAGAGACGAAAGGAGACCTAAAGGGAGGAATTTCGCTGTACCCACGGAGGGGTCCCAGTATTGTGAAGATAGCGGTTCTCTCCCAAGTGATTTGATGCTGTCCCCGTTAGGATCCCAGCAGTCTTCATAGAAACTGACAATCGGATTCTAGAAACTTACATGAATCCGCAGAGGGCTTGGGGCAGCCAAGACAAAATCTAGAGCAAGACAAGTATTTCCAGCCCCAGATTTCATGACTCCAGTAGAGCTGCAATAATCGGGACAGCATGGCAGTGGCGTAAAGTACAGGCAGGATCCGTGAACAAAACAGAGAGTCCAGAAAGGGATCCATACGTTATGGTCCCTAGGTTTTCGCTGGTGTGACCGGATGCCCTAGGGGTGGTTGGGGGGACGTGAGCCCTCACACCACAGGTATCACTTCGAGATGGATCGCAGGCCTGAAAACGGGGGCTAAAGCTGCAAAGCTTCTGGGAGAAAACATCAGAGATCGTCATGACGTGGGAGTGGGCAGGGATTTCTAAGGGCGTAGAAGGCACAAACCACAGAGAAAACATTGGAAAATTGGACTTTAAAGTTACAAACTTTCTCTCGTCGAAAGATGCTCTTGTGACAGTGAGAGGGCAAGCCAGAGACTTCCAGAAAATATTTGCAAAGTATACGCCCGGCAAAGGACTTGTGTCCAGAATATACAAAGAATTCCACAGCTCAGCAGTCAGAAGACAGCTTGGTAAAGAACGTGCGAGACCCTTGGACGGGGAAGGTCTGCCCGTGAGCCAACAGGCAAATGAAAAGGTGCTCGTCGTTACGGGTCATCGGAGAAACACAAAACCACGGTGAGATTCCACCACTCACCCACGTTGGCTCAGATGATAAAGGTTGACGGTGTGGTGTGTGGGTGGAGCTTCACACAGGCTCTCAGTGTGTAACGGGGCGGAACCACTTGGGAAACCGTGTCACACCTGGTAACGTAAACGTGCGTGACCCTGCAGCTCCACCCCTCTGCATCTACTCAGGGAAATGGGTGCCTTGTCCTCCGGAGACACCTTGCGAGGATGCTCACTGAGGCTCTGCTCGTTGATGGAGTAAAATGGGGACGGCCCACGTGTCCATCGGAAGGTGAGTGCAGGCAAACCAGAGGGTATTTATTCAGTGAAATACTCCCCGGGAGTAAGTGGAACGCGCTGATGATGCGGTCAGTAACGTACCCACGAGTTTCCTGAGAATTACGCTGGGAGAAGCCTGCCGCGGAAGCCCCCGCTCACCCGACCCTGTTCGTTTGCCTGGAGCTCGAGAATGGGCAGAACTCCCAGCTGTGACGGGTGTCTGAGCGCGTTCCCCAGGCTGGAGGGGCCCTGGGCCCTCTGGGCTGATGGAAGTGCCGTCGGGATCCGGGCAGTGGTCACGTGGGTGTGAACACATGTGAAAGGTTAGGCTGACAGGTTAAGATCTGTGTGTTTTAGCGTGTGTGAAGTGTACCTCAGGAGAGCGTGGGGGAAAGACTCCAGAGCTGAGCGTCGGACCCCCTGGGTGGGGCCTCAGCTCCACCTGGGCAGGTGACGTGGTG